TTTCCAGGGTCGGTCAGCAAGCTGTGAAGGCAAAAGTGCTTGTGCTGCCTGGGAGAAAGTAAGGATTAAACTGGTTCTGTGTCTGCAGTCACAGTAAGTCGATGTGGAGCTGCGTCCTCTGGCTACTCAGTACTATGTTCACATCGTAGGATCACAGGGTGGTTTGTGTTGGAAGGGACCTTAAAGCTCCCCCAGCTCCAAGCCCTGCCATGGGCAGGGACACCTTCCACTAGAGCAGGTTGCTCCAAGCCCCTGTGTCCAACCTGGCCTTGAACACTGCCAGGGATGGGGCAGCCACAGCTCCTCTGGGCAATCATTCATAGTTAAACCCTGTCTTTACTTCCTCCCACCCATCATCATCCCAGCTTGTTCAGAGAAAGAGGGAGTGCAGAAGGCAGCCTGGCTGGGTACGCCAGCAGTAGGGATGTTTGAAGCTAAGTGGGAGGCTGGGATGCAGGTACCTCAACAGAAGGTTGCACCATCACTCAGCAATCCCTGTATAAATCAAGCAGCAGTTCCTGGAGGAACAGACCTTGTGTGATGACTTCTCTTTCCTCTCAGGGATTGCTGTAACCTCTGCACTTCCTGCCTGGCTTGTGCAGCAGCATCAGTGAGGGAGGAGGAATGGGCCCATCTGATGTGAAGAGAGAGCTTTGGATCTGGCTTCTTCCATTTGCTTGCCACTGGGGTTTGTGTCTCCTGCAGCCAGAGCTTAAAACAAAACTGAGCCATTTGGCCCTATTCAGAATTAGGTGTCTGAACCCCAGAAGGGATTTCGAGCACCAAATTCCAGAAGTCCAAGTGTTAGACATCAAGGAAAAGCTGTTTTTCACACACAAGTTTCTCTTAAGCATTGCCTCTCATCCACTGTGGCAATTCCCCTGTTCCTAACAGCTCAGTTCCTGTACCCCTCACTTGTGCTGTTCACCTTTGGTCCCGAAATTGGGGTTGCACTGATTGTTTCTTTGGGTCTTGGGGTTGCCCGGAGGGAAAAGACTCTCCTGAAAATGAATCTTCTCATAACAAGCCAAGTCCTGGAAGAGGATCACAGCAAAAGGCAGTGACCAGACTAACAGTCTAGTGAAGGGGATTGGAAGAAATTTGTTAAGGATTTATGAGGATATAGCGGAGGAATGGGAACTGTTTAGTCTAGAGATGCCTGAGGACAGACGAAAGACTTCAGATGTGTGGAGAATGGCTGCAGAGAACAGGAGAGAAGTTTTCCTACTGGACTCTGGAGTCAGAACAAGAAATAAGGGGCTTAAACTGCTATGAAAGGGATTTAAAGGAGGCCAAAACCCAGGTTTGCTCCCTGTCAATGTAGTGAAGTGGGTTTATGAGAGAAAGAGCAGGAAAACTCCTTGTTGGAAGTTTTTGAAGAGCAAGTTAAACTTAAGCCCCTGTCTGAATAAGAGAAAGAGTCCTGGACAGGGCAAGAAACATCATCCAGTTCATCCCATGATCCATGACCTGCTCTTCACCTTCTGAAGCTGTGTCCTTGTGAGGTGCTTTCTCTGTAGAAACAGTTGAGAGTCTGAATAGTGGAGATATATAGAGATATATATATATATATGGGGATTTTTTCCCTCTATGGTGCAAATGGGGAGGTTGCTTTTTTGCAGGGGCTGTTGAAGGAATTCCCTACAGAATGTGGAACCTTCTGCACCATCTTTCATGCCACCATCTGCTGGGGCTGTGAGACAGCCCAGGCAATCCCATCCTAGGAGGCAGGGTGACAATTGCATCAGAATTGCATCAGAAACATATAGTGTTTCCACATTGCTCCTGGAGGACTTGTTATCAGTTGGCTACAGCTAAAGCAGATCTTTGTAGTTGATTTATCCACACTTCTTGTCTCTCCTTTTAGGTCCATCAGTGTGTTAGGATTGTGAATCAAAGATACAGATACAGCCTGGAGGTTTCTTTATTTGTCTTTTTACTATCAGTCAACATATAACCCTGGATCAACACTTCACTGGTGATGTGAGGTACATGTACAGCAAGGATCTGTAAATGGGGAGGAAACAAAGTCTAGTGCATGGGAACAGTCTGGGTTTATTCCAAGTTTACACGTGCTTTGTATTCCCTGTAGAGATATGGTTTACACTCCTGGAGCCTGGCCTCTCTGTTCAGCATCTTTTCCCCCAGGTAACTTTTGAACCTGTTAACCTCATTGCACAGCAGGAAAAAAAAAATGGAGCTCTGAAAAATGTGAATATCGGCAGATGGGTAGAGAGGAGGTGCTCAGGCTAGTACCTACCCCGTGGAAAATGAAGGGAGAAGGTGGCCTTTCCAAGTGCTCTTTGATGGCAACCACTTGCCAGCATTGCATTATCCGAACTGCTGCTTCTGAGAAGTCTGGGGGGTGACAAAGTTGATTCTGGAGGAGGCCAGACCTTCGTCTCTGCCACCCAGGAGACAGCTTGGTTATTCCTGTTCTCCCATGCATCTCTCAGCTTGCATTTTATATTCTAGATACAAGGACGAAGCTCTTCCCTGGGAGGGGGCTGAGGCGCTGGCACAGGGTGCCCAGAGAAGTGGTAAATGCTCCGTCCCTGGCAGTGTTCAAGGCCAGGTTGGACAGAGCCTTGAGTGACATGGTCTAGTGTGAGGTGTCCCTGCCCATGGCAGGGGGTTGGAACTGGATGATCTTAAGGTCCTTTCCAACCCAAACCATTCTGTGATTCTATGATTCTACAAACCTGTGTCTAGACCCAGCCTGTACCTACTTGTGATGGGATGCTGTGTGAGCAAGCTGCATGGCTGCGCAGCAGGGACAGGATTGGGACTCAGTGCTGTGCAGTTTCTCTGTTAAGTCCTCGGCCTCAGTTTCTCTCTTGCAGCAGAGAAAGGGGAAGCACTTGCTGAAATTCCCATCTCCTGCTGCAAATAAACAGGGAGCTTTCTGATTGTGTGACATGTCACGGCCTCCTCTGAGCCTGCAGCTGACTGTGTGCCTTCAGGAAATCCTCTCCTGCTGCCTGTAAGCTTCTTAGGAAGAAGGCAGGCTCTGGAGAAGGCATGTCTGTAGGATCACCATGCAGAGAATGTGTATTGTCGTGCTGTTATGGGCTTCTGTGTAGCTCCTCTTCATTAGGGATAGCAGTGATAGGACAAAAGGGGATTGGTTCAAACTGAAACAGGGGAAGTTCAGGTTAGATCTTAAGCAGCAGCTCTTCCCTGTGAGGGTGCTGAGGTGCTGGCACAGGGTGCCCAGAGAAGCTGTGGCTGCCCCATCCCTGGCAGGGTTCAAGGGCCGGGT